TCTTGCTTGGCAAGTCCTCCCAGGTTGAGCCTCGTGAGCTTATATACCAGACCGCCCGTAGATGGAATAGCCCCTTGGGATACCAGTGATTAGACAGGGAAAAAGATTAACCACGTAAATTACATATTATAGCGATATACATATTATAACACTGATATATACACACTTTATTTCGCAGATATGAATTGTTTTCGCGAAATTACACAATTACATGAATTTGCCACGTGTCACGTCACTATTTGTCGTGTATCTTACATGAATAAATCAAATCTAAAGGTACGCGCGCTTACGGTATTTTTGAGCTACTCCTAATACTCCTACATTAAATGCCATAATATATATTTTTTGTCTCTTTCAGACAATTTGGTTATACTCTTTCAAATAAAAACTTGCCACAATTACAAATATTATATTGAAACTTACACAAGGTTAATCCTACAAATCAAATAATCAACTGCAATTATTCAGCGATTGTTCAAGTTAATGACAAGTCCATTTATTTTGTCTTTTAAACAATCTTATTTCTATAGGTACATTCAAACATTCTTATCTACAAATTTGCAATACGTGGATATGATTTCCTCAATCTAAATTTAATAATTTCAGACATAAAGTTATCCTTATGTACATTACCTTGTAGAGTTTTTGGTTTGGTTCATTTACAAATTAAATAACCTGGGTGGATGGATGGATAAACTATTTTAGGTGTTAGGTTAAAAAAAAATTATACGTATAGTGTATGTGTCCGTATAAAATATAGTACAAAATGATTACTGACAACTGGAGAAGTATTTATACTAGACGAAGGGGGGTTATAACCAGAGTTAGCTGGCATATTTAATTGTATGTGGAACAATATAATATATTAGTTGATATCTCACCGTCTTCTGTCTGTACTAGAAATTTAATATACTTATGTTTACTCGCAACACTACGAAAACAAACTGAAAAATTGAGGTTTTTGGGAGTGAATTATCAAATTTTTTTATTTTAGTATATTTCGTGTATAAAACTATGATTATTAACTTTATTGGCTTATTAACTTTTTTGCGTCTATGAAAGTGCACAAATCTGGAAAGATAGATGGTGTAGAGTTGGGTTTCTCAAGCCAAAACCACTACTTAATTTTCAGTAAATTTGTTATTGAGACATTATTTAAAGTTTTTTAAATAATCAAAATATCAATTAGAAATTTATCAAAAATAATGAAGCTCTTGTTTTATTGTTTATTTTACGATTTTGACAGTTTAAACTGCTTACAGAATTAAAATGTAGTAATGTAGTACTTCTTTCGGCTTTCGCGAGTCGCAGACATAATTAAAACTACGTTTTTTTTTTTTTTTTTTTTTATTGCTTAGATGGGTGGACGAGCTCACAGCCCACCTGGTGTTAAGTGGTTACTGGAGCCCATAGACATCTACAACGTAAATGCGCCACCCACCTTGAGATATAAGTTCTAAGGTCTCAGTATAGTTACAACGGCTGCCCCACCCCTCAAACCGAAACGCATTACTGCTTCACGGCAGAAATGGGCAGGGCGGTGGTACCTATCCGCGCGGACTCAAGGTCCTACCACCAGTAACTCACAAGAGGTCCTACCACCAGTAACTATTACACGAAAATTGTAATAGTTTTTGAAACGTATATATTAACGTACTTATTTATATCTAACACGTATATCGGATAATTTGATATTCATTGTAAATATACGAAATTCCGAATCCAGTTTACAATCCAATTGACAAGCCTTAATTCCACCCGTAAACATTTTATTGAATGCGTTGCGATGTTTACGAAGTGGGTCAACAAATACTTTGATATTGAAACAAACATTGGAATCATGTCGTATTGCGCGTACTGTCAATCTTATGAGAGAAGACAGTATTGTATTGGATGTAAGCCAGATTTAAGAAATTTCTTTATGTTGCCCGCGATTCGCTTGAAACGTTTTATACCATTCGATCTAGGGAGTATAACTAACAACACACACAGATAGCACAAGAGTCTTACGCTTTAAGCTCGCAGTGTAACTTTTTTTAATATTTACATTTTTTTTTGTTCTCATGGTCTTTTTTTTTACGAGCTCCTGACCCGCCTGTTGTTAAGTGGTTACCAGAGCCCAAGACAACAACGTAAATGTCGCCACCCTCCTTGAAATATGAGTTCAACTCTCAGTATTATAGTATAGTCAACCACTCGTAATAATCTTGAAACATATTTGTAAAATGATTAAATCGTACACAAAACTGTACATTTGAAATATGTAATTGTATTCCAAAGATTTTTGATTGTATGATAGTATCTGTATTAAAAAATATGGTTTAGATGTGACTATGCCTAGGTTCGAATTCCAGGGACAAGCACAAAATTTTCACAGGAAGTGCGTACCTAGGACACGTTCACGAATGAAGGGATAATCGTGTAATAAAGACTAAGCCTGTAGCTGTAGCTATCGAAAAAAGTAATTTATAAAACCCTGGATCACTTACTTAGAAAAACATACAAGTTTTGAGTCTTCTTTATCTCCTCCCTTATCATGGATACAGAGTTAATCGAATTTACATAATTACTGGTGGTTTTTATGTTTCTCATTTGACTAATGGAATTGAATAATTTTCAGTAATTTTGTACATTCTTCTATCCTGTTTTTTTTCTTTTTCTATGCAACTGTTTGTTTATCATCAAATACTCTTCTGTTTTATATATAACTGTGCTTGCATAGTTTCTTCAAAGATCATGCTGATATTAAAAATAGTTACCTAACACAAAAACCAGTTTTTATTTTATTATATAAATAACATAAATTAAACTTTATTAAGTAAGTATGTAAGTAATGCTGTCTGGTTTATGAATTAAAACATGACTCTGAACATTTTCCAGAAAGAAAGCTGTGTAAACAATTTCACAAATCTATTTTAGTTCAACGACTTCAGAAAATCACCAAATAAATAGCTGTAAGAGTGAATCATTGTAACGTATATTTCTTATTTTAATAAAAAATATTTTTGTAGATAACATAATATCCAGTGGTAGATTCTGCAAAGCACTGCTCTTGCTAAGGCTGGTGTTAGCAAATACTCTCAGGTTGAGCCCGTGCGCTCACATACCAGTCTGGAATATAGCTGGAATAGCACACTAGGCTATCAGTGAACAGGCAGGGAAAAAAAAATTTTTTTAGACCAAAATTTATGAAGATTTTATTTAGACATTAGATACAAAATCTAGTTTTTTCTTTTTTCGCTGTTCATGTGTTCATCAAAGATAATGTCATTGTTTGTCTGGTACCACGGCAAGAAACCACCAAAATATAATCCACCCAATGTAAATGACAACTTCATATGCAGTACTATATGATCGTTAGCTGAGTGGTATCAACCTAGAATAGCATCATTTCTATTTCTTGTCGTGGGTGTTATGAAAGGTGACTAAGAGATTCACCAGATAACAGATAATAGTATTTTTTTAATACAATATTGATGCAGTGCAATTAAATTTAGCAGTGATGGTAAAAACTGAAGAAAATACTACAATTATCTTTTGTACAGGCTCTGTTCTCATCAAAGATCATTTGCCCTAAATTGTGATTGATGAAACTCCACAAAGGTATGGGATATTGATCTCCTTAACAATTCAAATAAATCCACCTTACTCATTATTACACAAATTATAAATACATATTGCAGTTTTGACTTTGTACTTTCCCATTAGTTTATGAATGTGTGTTACACATGTTAGGTTGGTTACTTAGAAACATTATTTCGACTCCGGGTTTGAACCAAGTCCTAGACTACATATTTATAGAGGGTGCCTATGTTTGACTATGTGAACAAATGTGTTAGTTGTGTTAAGACAGAATATGTCACATTACATAGTTTTATATAAGGTACTCAAGTTAAGAATTACTAGTTTTAAAACCCAGGCATTCTAGATGTGTATTTAACTTTACAAACCAAAACCATTTTCAGAACAATTCAACTTGACCCAATATTACATTTAGTTGCATGTAATGTTTATCTACTGAGAAAAACAGCAGACCTACTTTCAGATTTATTTTAGTGCTCTAAATATACTCCTATTCTTTGAGTACATAACATGAATATTCTCTGGAGGGACTCAGTAAATTTGTGATTTTACAATATTCTGTATTTAGACAAATTTACCATGATGCATTGAAGTAATATTTTTTATTGTGTTAATTTAATTGATTAAGAAAAATATTTGTTTTTCTTCTTATTTTTTTTTTATAAATTAAAATCATCATTTTTTTCAATTATTCATGTACACAAGGGTATGATGAGTGAATTTATTATTCAAGTAATCAACAAGTAATCAATGAGAAATTTTAATGTGAAAATTTAAAACATTTAGTCTGAACTGAGAACTGAACTTATTAACTCGTTGATTAATATAGATTCTGAAATAAAATGTAATACTTAAGCTATAAATTGATTTAAAAAATTCTTGTATTACTTCAAACAGGTAAATTTAGGAATTTAATCGTAGTTATGTAGTTTTCCTTTGTTTTAAGCTATGTACCAGTGGAAAAAGGTCATGTGTGGGTAAGAGACACCTTAATGTTTATCATTACAGTTTGCTGACCTATTTTATACATTGTTTTCATTATACTTTCTAATTAAATTTGAAGCATAGTGCGCCCGTATTTAGAGGTGGTGGTAACACCGCCGGATGAATCATAATTCAGCAGTTTACAGCACTGGGCATTGCCTGCTGATGTCATACAGGCACCCGAGATATCGAAGCTACGTATTGTGGAATACTTATAACACTGACTCGGTACACTAAGAATACTTTCCGATATATGAAAATAACATATGCCTCTCTATTAAAGTTCCCGGACACCACACCAACAACCACGTTCATAAGTTGACGTTCTTATGTAATATTTTATGCTATACTATATTTCCCGAAACCTTCTTCTGACATAAAATAGCTATGTTCACATAAAAACACTTAAATTTCTGCGTAGGAGGCATAAATACCTTTATTTTATGTGTAATCCAATATCCAGAAGAAAGTCGCTGTCTTATTTACACACGAGTTCACTGTCATTCATGTATAATAACACTCCATCACAATGCAGCACTACACAAATTTGCACTTAAAATTATATTTTTGTGTGAAAATATCACAAAATGCGCCATTTTCGCAATATAACCGAAGGACAGCAGTCACAGCAGTCAGCACTCGCTGCCATCTTTTTTGTCAAATGTCTAAAAACTAAATATAGCGCTTGGAACGAACTCTGGTGTTATTTTTAGAAAATACATCGAGACTTTCACTTTAGTACTACTAACGACATCTTTTTTTCATCTTTTTATATTCATAGCCTCTTCATAGATGGCGCATACAAATAATACAGAGGTAACTCAACAGGTGACGCTAGCATAGAACTTTAAAAGAAGTCGAAAAGGCAATGAAGTAGGAAACCTATGGAAATGAAACGTCAACCAAAATTTCGTGCCACTGTGACGTCATCTGGCCACAAAACATGGCGGCTTTAGTGCTGTACAAAAGATTTCAATGTTATCAGGTTTTATCGATAAACGTTCTTGGCTCATTTTATTTTAAATATTGTTGAGTATTATTTATTTGTAGAATTTATACTTTAATGGGAAGTAAGTAGGTATATTGCTATGTGCAAATATGATATGATTTAGATGGGTGAAATCTAAGACAAGTTCGTCCTTCGAATTTGCCAAGTAAACGATATGATGATTTTTAACAGTTGCTACACTGATTTTATAAAGTTGTCGTTTGTCGCAAAACATAAAGATATGGCGTAGTTCAAAGCCATCAGCCCATTTCTAGCATGCTAAATGTTATCGTATTTTGAGTACGTGTTTTTCTTAGACTATTACAATCTATTTTAATTGTTTTGCTGACTCTAAAGTCCGTAACATACTACCGCAGCGCACCCCAAGGAAGGTGCGCCGCACCATTTGAATCACTTTCGCTTGAGAGTGATT